TCCAAAAACCTTGATACTAACCATAGCTATGCTATGTTATTTCAGGCCGAGGTATACGCAATTTTGCAATGTGCAAAAACGAACAATGAAAGAACTGTCGAAAATCAGCATATTCAAATAATATCGTACAGCCAAGCGGCACTTAAGGCCATATCGAGTCGGAAAGTTACGTCGAGGCTGGTATGGGAAGACCACTGGCAGACCGAAATAGAGTAAAACTATTTTGGGTGCCAGGTCATCAAGGGATCGAAGGCAACGAAAAGGCTGACGAACTTGCAAAAAGAGGGACAAAAGAAACACCGGAACCAAACACAAATCCAGGAGTACCAAAAAGTACAGTCCGGGATTTCATAAACGACTGGATTCGGGAACAACATTTTAACTATTGGGGAAGTACCCCAAAACAGGCACATGGAAAAACTTTCATAGGCAGACCATGTCCCAAAAGAACTGGAGAATTACTCTTTATGAATACGAACCAGTTGAAAGTGATTACAGGGTTCATGACTGGGCACGCCCCAGTAAAGGTACACTTGAACAAAACTGACATATACAATGGGGAACTCTTGTGCCGACTATGTCACAAGAAACCAGAAACGACCAAACACATACTGTGCGAATGCGGCTCTTTTTGGACAACCCCATGTATAGAACCCACTCACCCAAGGATCTGTACAAACTTGTACAAGGTACAAAGGTGACAGAGTGGGTGCTATGAACTAACATGGAGTAAAACACAATAAGCCAATAGGCTTCAGTGTTATTCGGAGACATAGTCAGACGAGCCTAGGAGAAAATAAAAGTACCATCCATGATTCGACCTTTTTTTAAGATTTTTAAAAACATATTAATGAAAAAAATTGGTTTCAACTGATTCAGTGTAAATTAAATAGTTTTACCTGCACCTGGTTTATAAGAAAAACTGAATTAATATAGAAATAAAATTATTTGAATCAGGTTGGCAATAAAATTTTCCGTGTCAATTTTCTATCACAAATTAGTGACGTATTTTATTTAAACATGTATTGTTTGTTTTGTTAACACGGTTCAAAAAGGTTTTGAAAATGTACATGAACCAGGAAATATACAAAGTTTGTTGAAATCGTGCAAAAGGTTGTTTATTGAATATTTTTATATTTAGATACTTAAAAAACAAGTTCAGAGTCTCAGTGACTTGAAAAATACGGCGATATTTATATTAATACTTTTTTGAATGGAATATTTTTATTTCCTTATTACAATATAAACGTTGTATGAAGAATATCAAATATATAGATGAATGGTGAATCTAATATAGTATAGGGCCCAAAATGGAGCGCTGTGGAACACCCAGATTGTTTTTCTCATGCTCTGACAAATTGTTAACGAGTGCTTACCATTATTCAGAAAATATTTGATACAGTTAAAATCAAATTTCTTTATCTCATGTCTACAAAGTCTGTTTAAAATAAATTCTTGATTGACGAAGTCAAATGCTCGACTAAAAGCACAAATCGTTTCACCTGCTTCAATGTATTAATAATTAATCGAGTGCCAGTGTTGATTTTTAATCCAAAACTCATGTTGTTTAAAAAGATACTGATAGTAAAATAAATCGGAAAGTAATGAAATCAAACCAGCTTAAATTATTTATTATTAAAAATGTATTTATTTAATTATTAGTTTAAACCTTTTCGAATGTGCGCCTCTGTAATTATTTTACGACACATCTATCATAATATTATATCTTTCCGTGAGGTCTAGAGTTTAATTTTCTCCGGTTATCACTGGATGTTGCTAATGTTTACTGGCATACACCGAAAGCATGATTCATTGACGTAATTCCGTTTAAATCTAATTGAACCATTACTATTTTGTCGTATCAGAAATGATGTGGAAAAGTACATATGTTAAGAAAAAGTAATTGTGCTAGAATAAATAAAAACATCGGATAATGATAGAATTTTGTTTATTTTATCTAAAAAATATATCGTACTACTCCTGATGTTGAACTAAATCCTTTATAAAAGGATAGAAATGTCTTCTTGATTCCTCGTTTTGATATATTGGGACTCATTAATTTTTTGGGATCCGTGCCATTCCAAAAATGTCATATTCGCTCCGTGCGAAGTCATGGAAAGGGAAGCAAAAGCGATACTAGCGCTAGCTGCGGATAAATCGTGCATTTTAGGGGGATATTTTGTAATTTTGGCATATCAAATACACGTATACATTTTACTTTTTTTCAAAAAAGTAGGTAAAAACAACACAATAAGCAACCGGAGTTGCTGTGTTGAAAATTGTACAAATACTAGCAAAAAAAAACAGTGAAACTTATATAAAACAAATTTCACTAACAAAGTGGAAATTAAATCAAAGAAATAAATGGATAGGTGTACAATAAGAAGAAAAATTACCTTTATTTTTGTGATAATAACAGTAATGCTGGAAATAGTAGACATCAGAAACTAGAAAGTTTTTAAATAAACAATAAATTATCATTTTACGATGTTCTTTAATATCCCTTTATTCTTAAATGTTCATTCAGCAAGGACTAGATTTCAAGATTTCTGCCGTTGATTATAATATTTGGCTAGTATGCAATTTTGTGACTTACTGATCGGAAACCAGTTTTAATCATTCATTCTATGTTTTCTTTAGAACAAAAATGAAAATATAAGTAGCGATCCTTTTTATACATTTTAACTTCACGCTATTATAAATGGTTCCTTCAATGACAACTTATTAGACTTAGGCAACTTCTCATACATTTTCCAGTAATTACTGTTGCCTGCCTATATTTTATTAATAATTTTTAATGATTATACATAATTTTCTTCAATTTAAGCGTGAAAAATATATAATAATAATAAATTAATGTTTTAATTGTTTTATAAATCCATATACTTTTATTAAAACTAACATATATACTTTTTATTTACGAATTCTATTAAACATTGTATTTGACAGTATAGGCAGAAATACTCCTTTAATACCAAAACAAATTGGCGCTGCTGTCGCGCACGGAGCGAATAGTAATTTTTTACAAGATGGATTCAATTTAGTAATCTACATCATGTGTATATAAATATATACATGAGGGTTAAATTTATTAGACAAATTGTGTACACAGGAATTCAAAATAAAGGAAATCCGTACTGCCTAAAGAATTGGGAGACTATTGAAAAAAATTCAAAAAGTATGTGAAAAAGAAATTCTTATTCTATGACTAGTTATTTTAAAAACACTATTTTGTAGCAGCTATTTTCCTCGAATTTCAATTCGTCAATATAAAGATTGCATAATATTTTTCAGTCATTGTTTTCACCCAGCGCACTACTGTTTTCTTCTCTAGAATCTTAAGATAGTTTCATTTTAAATTTCGTCAATTTCCAAGAAAATTTATTGACTTCCGACGGAATTCCAGAATTTCCGAAATAATTCCACCCACTCTGGTTAAATGTATACCCGGAATGCCATATACATTTACCCCTCAAAATAGTGACAAATCATTGTAAATAAATTACAAGTCTAACTGAATCGCTTCTGTAATTTATTTTAGGCCGTTTTTTTATGTTCTTAATATTCTGATTGTTTGAGATATTGTTATACCTGTCTTTGCTTTCCTTATTTATTTGTATATTTTTTGAAATATTTTTGTGTGCACCTCGTAATAAACGAATTAAATCTCATTATTTTTATTCATTCGTAACCTTTGGCTATGATAGTAATAATAATTGTGTAATAATTGCACAAATCTTAGCGGAATTCCACGTTTTAAATCAATTTTGAATTGATAACGGTACAGTAACAGCTAGTGAGAGTTTTAGTGAATGTCTGTGCCAATAACTATGATAGCAGAAACTTTTATGTTCCAAAAGTTCAAAACTCATTCGAAATGGACTTTTAGTAATTGGATTGTGCTTGAATTCGTAGTGTAATTTTTTTTGAAAATCGTAAAAATGTACCCTTTGGTTTTAGGAGTGTTCACCAAGAAGGGGCATGTTGTTTTCAGTTTCAGTTTTTGGATGTTGGAGGTAAAAATGTATAATAAATCTATAGGTTCTAAAATGTGGCAAATTGTACCACTCATATACCTTATTTTTCGGATTATAAGACGCACCTTTGTATATAGAAAAATTAACTCAAATTTTGGGTGGTAACATTAAAATATATTTTTCTAAAAATCATCAAATTTGAGGTGTCAACAAATAAGAATGAACATTTTCTGGGATAATAACAAATATATTTTTTCTTTATTTTTGATAATCAACTTAATCCCCCATTTTTAAATTGCAATAAAAACATTCCATTTAAAAAGACAGACAACAATATATGACCCTTTATTTATCTTACTATACGTCAATGCATATTTTGGTGTAAAATTATTTTTTATTTATAGTCTTTCCATAAAATTTATGTTTTCGCTAACTTTTGACAATAATTTAGTAGTTACATCATTTAAATATTTGTTTTATTACAATTAGAAATATAAAACTGTCGGTACAAGCATTAACAATTATTATTATTAGGTATTATTTATTATAAACGATAAAGATGAGAAATTTTGAAATTAATACAGCATTTTTTTATAATGTGTACGTCTATTTAAATTTAATAAAATAAAAGGGAACCCTCAGATTCCACGCCCATGTTATGGTTATGTCATACGTACAATGTCAGAAGAAAATGCAAGAAGTCTTAATGAAAAATTTAAGCATTAATTACCTCATGTGTGTGCCGTTTTGGTTCAAATATGAGCTGACATGAACGGAAGAATGTTTCTCTTATTATCATCTGCATACTCGAAGGATAATCATCTTTTTTAAAAAATGGGCACTACTTTAAAGACGGATTCTCTGGTATGACATTTTGAATAACGTTACTTCAGTTTTTTTAACACGCGCCACCTACGAGCTCAAAAACAAGCATTGTTGCCAAGTATTCCTAAAAATCTACAATTTAAATGATTTTTTTTTACCTAGAAAAAATAATTATAATCTTTTTACGATTCACAAAAACTTAACGCGTTGGGTGCCATGCGATTTAGATGTCACGCTGTTTAGAACTCCATTTTGATTTTATTTTTTTTTATTACAGTACTTGGACATCGGGGAGGATATGAACGTCCCCGATGACTTCACAGCGAAGGAAATGCAAACTGGGATGTGGTGGAGGCATCTAGCCGCTGGCGGCGTTGCCGGTGCCGTATCTAGGACGTGTACCGCTCCTTTGGACCGATTGAAAGTATTCCTACAGGTCAGTAGTTACGAAAAATATAATATATGTTATTTGAAGTACAATAACAAATATGTATAAGAAGCAATTTATTTCATATTTTCAATGGTATGTAAATATAATTAAAACTTTCACAGTTATAGAACAGGGTAAATATAGACAAACTTTGAGGGGTGATAGGGGATATCAAAATAATTTTTGCTTAAGCCACACCTAGTATTTCACAGAATTTGACACTTATCTGCTTATCAGCGGCTAGACTAGTAAAATGCATACTTAATTTTATCTACAGCTTGCTTATTTAGCAACTGACGTACTTCAAATTTAATCATTCTGTTTTTTTTTTTTAAAGTGATTACATATCCGGTATTAAATATGATTTATCAGATAACATTCTACTGTGAGTGTATGAAATTTATTCTGCCGCGATAAGTACACTTGTGGGGAAATACAATGGTTTATTTTAGATTTCTAATAAATTTTACGAAATTTTGGTTATCCTACAAAAATTAATTATTAATAAAATAATCCTTGAATAATGGAATCGACTATAATGATAAATCAATATTACTTGTTACCTAATTGTGATAAAAAATGTAATTATTTATGTAACTAGGGTGTGAGAACAATCAATCACACAAGATTATTAAGAGTTACACAATCTAGCTCAGTGCATTTGCTTATAATGCGACATTCTCTTTGACTTGAACATTTCCTTTTTGCATTAATTCAAAAATATTTCTACAAACTATGCGAATAAAATTCTGCTTTGTTTTCTTATAGATTTACTAATCTCAGTCGCAGTAAATTTGACATTAAGTACTTTGTTTTTGGTTCTAGTAACTGAGCAGTGTAACTTCCCAACCCCGGTCGTTTTGTAAAAAGCTTCTTAATTTTAATATCTCCCTCTCCTAGTTTAATAAGATTATTTTATTACCCACGTTGTGTTTAATTAATTTATAAAGTATACCAGGATTCCATGCAAAGTTCAAAATGAAATAATACTAGAAAATATATTTAATTTATTTTATCCTCCAATAAAATAACGTATACATTTTATTAATAGGGGAATGAGAAATTATATTCCTCACTTGAAACTCGTATGTTGCTTACTGGGTGCAATAGTGACATATTTCAAAATTATTAGTTTTGAGAAAATGTATTTTTTTTTATTCTAGTGGCCACTGACACGGGATCTGTGATACATTTGGTTACATATAAAATTAAATTAAATAGTCGACAGTCTTTAAGGAATTGAATCACAGCACTAAACTGGTTAGGTAGACCTAGAATGTTTTTAAGAGTTCCACTGAGCTTGTGTTTGCGACAAGTTGAGCTGTATTTGCAATCTAAAAGCATATGCTCAATTATTGTAAGTCTTACACAATCACAGATTTCACAGATAGGGGGATTTTGAGAGGACATCAGGTAACTATGGGTGAGCCGGGAATGACTTATTCTGAGTCTTCTTATAACGCTTTTGGTTTTTCTTGTCATTGGATACATCTTGTGAGAGGTAACTGTGGGTTGTATTGAACGGAGTTTTGTGTATTCCAATGTGTTTGCCATGTGTGAATCATCGTTTGTCGACCTGCTGATTTTAAGTCTTGATGAAGTTGAATTTGCTCTACTGGCAAGTCGAAGGCGCAAGTTTGTTTCGCTGCTTGGTCTGCACGTTCGTTGCCAGTAATTCCTACATGAGAAGGGATCCAAATGATATTCGCATCGTTACCTCTAGTACGTTGGTAATGGCAGGTATCGAGGATATCTTGAACTAAAGGATGTTGTGAGTAGTTGTTTTTGATGGAGTATATTGATGAAAGGGAGTCTGTACATATGGCAAGTTTACTGGAGTCCTCAAAGCTTGTAGTATTCCATATAGTTCAGCTGTGTGTATAATACATAAGTCAGGAAGTTTGTATTTTTCAAATTTGTAGATTTTCGTTAGTGGGTCGTAGAAAAATACTGCACTTGAGTGGATTGTCCGTATCACTCTTTTGCACAAACTACTATTGTTTCTTTTTTTATGTAGGTGTCCTTACTGAGATACAGTCATTGCAATAACAGACTGATATCCGTTATATTCGGGCTCACGTAGGGGCGTTTATGTAGTTTAATCTTACTAGACTAGTGCCAGATTAGTATCAGCAAACCTTATATTCAGAATTACCTACGGAGCGAAGATTGAGGGATAATAAGTTAAGTCTAACTTTGTAATAACTTAAACCGAACTATCATTCACCCCAATCAACTGATCTGTTAATTTATTAGCTATTAGTGAAGGTGCATCGATATTTCAGCAAACCAAATTCTTGAATATTTTATAGTGGTATATTTATAGGGCAAATAATGCAATCTGGAGAGTGTTCATCTGACAGTATTTAAATATGACTTTATTCAATAGTAAATTTCCATAATAAAATTTTATTCATTTATAAAATTTTACACACATACACAAATAGAAATAAAATTTATCAGACTTGTCAAAAAAAAAAATAAAAGTATACCAAATAAATTTAAGAATTTAAAAATTGCTCAAAACTATAAAATGTTTTCGGGATTAAAATATAATAATAAATTTCTATTAAGTTATTGACTTTTTGGCATTTTTATTTGTTGTTTGATGCCTGGAAACGTTGCTTGTGTGGAAATATTGAGCCGGTGCGTCGGAGCGTAGAAGTGCCTGGACGTAGAAGCGTCGGTTCAGAGAAGCGTTGGTAGGAGAAGCATCGGATAGAAGTACTAAATACTATTTTAGACTGAAATTTAAATGTAACTAAATCCAAATGGAGTTTTAAATAATACTGAATAATAAATTCACCGGGATACCGATGTGACAGCAGCCACAAGTTCTAGCTATAAGTTTGATGGCGGGAAACAAAGCGTCAGCGGTAATCAATTCATATCTGGGCTCTGAATTTATGGGAGGGCCATAAATTAATTTATTTTACGCAAACGGCAAGAAATCGTATGTATCTAAATTGCACAATTTTATTCTAAACAGAGTTATTGGTTTTATTTAATAGACATCGTAGATAACACTTAATTATCTAGAAAAATTTTTTCGTTTAACTGAAGGATTTTTAATTTAATATGAATGCAACTTTTTTTAATAAAATGAAATCAATACATTGTGTAGCTACCTGGGTGAAGAAGGTTTTAACAATATTACTTTCTAACTTGTCTAAATCTATAAACTAACTATAAAATATGACTGTTAAAAGTAGGTACATTTTATATTTACAAATATGACAAGTGACAGATTGTCATTAATGATATCGAAATTTGTTGAAATTACATAAAAAATAGAAATTATAATAACCTAAGAATACATTATTCTTAAAATTAGAGATTATATACAATAAATAAATAAAAATTATAATAATTTTATTATAGTGATGAATGTAGGTTTAATTTAGTTACATTTTTCCAAAATTATATTTTGTCAAACTACTAAAATAGGAGGTGGCAAAAACGAACACCTGATATATAAAAAAGTTATTATAGTTGATGTTATTTAAATATTTTTACAAAAAAGTTTAAATATTAATATTTTAAATCCAGTTTTGTTTCAATTTTGCTGAGAACCCAAAACTTAATTCTCGTTTTACATTAGGTACGGAAACCTTTTTCAAAATTGTATTGAAAATACTGTTTAGAGAACAAACAAGATAAGACACGTTGAAATTTTTCCGTAGAATATTAAACAGATTTACACTGTACATCCGATATACGTTGTATAATAGTGATAATGTATTTTATTTAAAAAATATTCCTTTTCGATTTTGATTAATTATGACATTAATAAAAATAAATGGCATTTATAAAAACAATGTTTCCAAATTGTTTAAAAACATGTTTATTTTTGAATAAAATAAATAAGTGAAATTTAATTTCTTGCCGTAGTTTATCAGATGTAGACGTACTTTACTTTTTATTTTTTGTCGATGATAGATAAAACATCAATATTATGTTACTACTCGTTATTTAAAACTAATTACGTTATAAAGGAAGTCCAAACGATTTGATTGAAATTTGCAACCATTGAACTAATCAAGTAGGAATGAGTAAAATATATAGTATGCTGTTGGATACCTGGTATATACAAAAATTTTACATATAATATTGAATGCTATTAAAATATTGTTGCACAAAATTTAAATATTAATATTTTAAAATCAGATTATATTTTACGAAAACGCAAAGCTCAATGCCTATTTTACATTGTATTTTGTTAAACTACTAAAGTAAAAGGCGACAAAAAAGAACACCCAGTATATAAAAAAGTTATTATATTTGATGCTATTGAAATATGTTTACAAACAAATTAAATATTAATGTTTTAATTACAATTTTAATAGATTCTATTTTGCTGAAAACCCAAAGCTTAATGCCCATTTTACATTAGATATGGAAACCTTTTTCAAAATAGCATTGAAAATATTGTTTAGAGAACAAACAAGATAAGACAAATTGCAATTTTTCCGTAGAGATTATATTAATCCGTTTTACTCTTACTATTTGTTACTTTTACTTCTTAATTGCCACTTATTTAAATATGAATTAAAGTAAATAAAAGCATACAATAATTTTTGATATACACATCCGATACACGTGATATAATAGTGATGAAACGTGTTTTTATTAAAAAATATTCTTGTAATTTTGATTATAGCAATAAATATTTGTATAAACTTTCTTTAAATTTTATTGTCTGCTTGAAAACATTTACTTTTGAATAAAATAAGTAAATTATGTACCTTGCCCTAGTTTATCAAATGTAGACGTACTTTATTTTTCATCGATGATGCGTAAAAGATAAATAATCAAATTGTTTACGTCATAGGAAGTCCAAACTATTCGAATGAAAATTGCAGCAAATTAAATACAGGGTGTTCCAATACAACATTGTAATAATAATAATATAGTTTATTTACTCAAAAAAAAAACATATTTTTTTTACATTATAATAATCACTAAAGTAAATAAACGTTAATTCACATGAAGTTGTAGCGTTACAACTTGTGTGTGAAAAGAAATTTATAAATAGGGTGTGCAAATATAAAATTATACAATTACCTCCAACAATACAATAGTTTAAACACTATAAGAATTAAATACGATACAATATAAAATAATAAAAAAAAAACAAAATATAAAATATAAAGAGTGGTGACTGTAAATTAAAACAAGAGATTTGGTAAGTGCAGTGTCAAAAAAAATATATGAAAATCCCATAAAAACCGAAATTGTGCATGGGCTACACATGTTTAGATGACAACGTGTACTTAGCATGTTTATCCAATATAAATAATAATAATAATATTATTAAAAATTAAAAAAAGAATGAAACACAAAATATGTATTAAAAATGTTTTTTCTTTTTTATGGAAAAATTTCTTAAAAAAGAATAATATTTATTATTAGAACCATTTATGGATCACTGTTCTGTTAGTATTTATAATAAAGTCTTTAATTCGGTTTTTTTATTAAAGGCATACTATTTAAAACTTTAATATACGTTTTGTATTCGTCAGGCAGATGGTTAAAGAATACGTTTGCCAAATAAGAATAATTTTATATTTGACATTTTTCTAGTTGAAATGGGAGTATAATTAACATTCCTGACGTATTGGTTCATTTTTATTACATAAAATTAAAAAAAAAAATTAAAAATATAATACGTTAAACACTTACACTTTAAAATTCCGAATGATTATTATTTTTTTTTTATACAAATACAAAGTTTATTAATTATAAGATTACTGCCTAGATGTGTTTTGTCGTGTAGATCGCTTGGGAGTGGGATTGACTTCTGGGCTACTTTCTTGTTTTCTTTTGTTTTTTGGTTATTGCCTGTTTCTTTAGATTCCGTAGATGTAATAATATCTGGATGATCTTCTAACTCCTGGGCGGTATATTCTGTGTTATTTATGATTAGGCGATGGTTTTTAATTTTTGCGTCAATAAAATTAAATTTTGCATTTTTTAAATTTGTATACAGCACCTATGTGTTTTAGATAATTATTTTTGGGTATTTTCTTGGAATTTTTTTCGTAAAAATAAATACTCCGGTATTTTACATTACTAGTTAGAGCTCTAGTCCAAACGATTCGAATGAAAATGGCAACAAATGATACATAGGGTGTTCCAATAAAAACTTGGGTATTTTTTGGGCATTATTTTCGTAAAAATAAATACCCTGGTATGTTACATTACTAACCAGTTCTAGTCTCTAGTGTAATAATAATTAACAATTATTTCATTTTGTTGCAGGTGGACCCCAAAAAGCAAAGAATAAACGACTGTTTCCAGAACATGCTCCGCGAGGGAGGAATAAAAGGCTTATGGCGCGGCAACGGCATCAACGTACTCAAAATAGCTCCAGAATCGGCGATAAAATTCGCCGCTTACGAGCAGATTAAAAGACTGATAAAAGGCGATTCGAAAGAAGCCTTAAGCATTTACGAAAGGTGAGTGATTTCGACATACCAGAACATTATTTGGAAGCGAAATTCAAGGTCCGTTGTCATAAAGTTATTCGGTATTCGAGAGTAATTGTTGAGAAACTAATTTAATACTTGTTAGAAACCTTCGAATTGTTTAGACAAGGTAGACGTTTTGAATTGAAACTTTCATTCTACGTTAATTTTGAAGCTGTAATTTGCGGACATAGATTCTATAGGGTGTCTCAAAATAGTGTGTAAAAATATTAACTAGATAGCGGAAAAAATTTGTTTTAGGTTTTCAGTGTAAAGACTAATTTGTAGGGTCCGATTACAATTAGAAGAACACAGCTACGTCATCATTTGGCAAAGTAATTAATTGGTTATCACCGTCTACTGAGGGTTTAGTGAAGTGTTAATATTGTAGGAATTATTGTATTATACCTAACAACTTACTTATTTCTTATTTATTAATAGTTATAGATAAAATGTATTCGAAATTCGAAGTAATGGTTATATCGTAGCGGTGTTCTTCTAATTGTAATCGGACCATGCACATTTCTGTGCTGACCTGTATGCGACATTATTGAGAGTTATATAAATTAATATCATATAAGTGTTTGTCACGGGAAGTAATTAAAAAGAAATATAAAAGATGTTTATGTAACTGCTAAAGAAAGTATTGCTGCGTACATAAAACTTCAATTGTAGATATAAGCGAGGGATGTTAATGAATATGATGTTAAAATTTAAACATCTATGAGAGATTTAGATATTGTTTTAAAAATATATCGAGAAAAGTTTCTTTAAAAACAGATACAAAAATGACTGGTAATGTTTCATGTTTAGTTTCACATGCAAGTGTTAAATTATTTAGGTGCAATATAGTTTTTATAAGCTGCTATGTCGGATTTTGTCACAAATTGAGATATTATGTACATAACATATTTTGACTTTGTTAAACCGTTTGAGAATCCACATCGGATGCATTTTTTACATCTCGAGCGTTTTTTTATCCACATCGGACACATGTCCCATTACATTTACGTATACTGAATCACGTGATCAAACATTTACTACATCTCAGATGCATCCGATGTGGATTCTCAAACGCGGCAAATATCATTTTGTAATATAATTGTATTCATTACATGGTATTTTAAAATAAAATCTGTTATGTGAGATGTCGGTCCCATTCTAAAGTTTTTTCAGCCACGTGTAAAATTTGCTAAAATCTACATAGCAAATTTTGACTTGACAACGAGGATATATTATTCAAAATTCTAAAATTGTTATATTGTAAATTTAAATTTAATAAAGTTTAAAGTTTGTATAGTCTTCAAGTGCACCATAAAACAAGGAAGTCGACACATCAAATTGACTTATAACTTTTCGTTTACTGCAATACTGAGTAAATATCTTATAGTTCCTGTTTAAATTTCAATTTACAATCTTAAATTCAAAGTTTATGTAGTTCAAGTAATTTGTGTTAGAATCATACAGTTAAAAAACAGACATCCTTTAAATAACTCATCTAGCTCTATCCATGCATTCAAGAAGTGCATATTACCCATCCTGGAAACAGCATTTTCACACAGCCCTACATATACAAGTTAAATATATTACCTTCTCGACCCGTGCCAAAGGTCACGTATGCACCGGCTTAAATAGAATTACGCCACATTTTTCGAACGTGCTATCTCGTTTGCTAAAATATGTGCTCTCTCCTTCCTCAACGAAGCTGAAACATAATTTATCAGTTCAACATATTTTTGACTGCACCCGAAGATAGAAAAGTTTTACGAAACATGTAGTGGTGTGCTAAATGCTACGGTCGAGATTCAAATAATTCATCAGAATATTCTAGACTCTAGTAAGCCACGCCCACTAACACAAGAATCAACTAGAAAATTTCCTCAATCGCATCACTCCTGTAGCAGTCATTTAACAAAAAGGATGTCGCAGGAGTCCCTATCAAAACATGTAGTGTTTTAAAATATCCTTCTAAGAGTTCTATCTTACTATTATTTATTCTTTGGTATCTGTTTATATAAAATTAATTTCTTATTTTTTTTTTTTTTTAGATTTTGCGCTGGTGCATTGGCAGGTGGTTTTTAGTCAGACGGCCATTTATCCATTAGAAGTACTCAAAACTAGGTTAGCTTTAAGGAAGACCGGTCAATACAAGAGCATAGCAGACGCCGCTTACAAAATTTACGTTACTGAAGGGCTCATGAGCTTTTATAGAGGCTACATTCCAAATATATTAGGTAATGTATAATATATTTTGCAACAACCGTTCTAATAAATTAAATATTTACACAAAATTAGTAGTTTGTCATTTCCGATTATTTTTATTTTATAAGACAATTTTTTCTAGTTTTATAATACAATTTGCCTTGTTTTATGATAGAATTCCTAGTTTTATGATGCAATTCTTAGGTTTGTGATACAATTCATAGTTTTATATGATATAATTTTCCTAGTTTTATGATAATTTTTTATTTTTTATCCGATTTTCCTAGTTTTATGACACAGTTTTCTCTAGTTTCATGATACAATTTTTTCTAGTTAACTCTTTAGGGATATATTTTAGTCTTACTTCAAGCAATTAAACAGTCCTAGATCTCACATTATTTAATTTAAAATAATCTTAAGCCATAATTTTCCTTCTGCAATATTCTTTAAAGGATAGTTAAATAAAAGCAGACGGATTTAACGAATGCGTTAACTTTTCTCTCTTATTGATAGTATTTCTGATAATTTACACAGAGGTGTGTTGTCATCTGTCATTAACTCCCTTACATAGCGTGGAATATTAAATGTTAATATCCCATTGTTAAGTAAAGTTGTAAATTGCAAATATATATATTTAAAATAAAGGAAGGATAAGTTGTGTATAACAAAGTCTTAATGATGTTTTAATATAAATAACAGATCCTTGGCAACCGAGGTTGCCAACGAGATAAGTTTAATAAATAAATCTACTGCATAGTGTTTTTTGACGTTGATAGACGTCAATCTATGCTGGATTTAAACAAATCCAAGGATATTTATAAACTTTGATTTTTTTTAGGTATTATTCCATACGCAGGCATAGACCTTGCTGTTTACGAAACTTTGAAGAAAAAGTATTTCATGACACATTCCAGTAACGAGCAACCCAGTTTTTGGATGCTGCTGGCTTGCGGTAGCGCCAGTAGCACATTGGGTCAGATGTGTTCCTATCCTTTGGCTTTGATTAGGACACGTTTACAAGCACAAGGTAAGTTCGTATCCATTTATTTCTATGGATAATAATAATAATAATTAATAAATATTAATGGAAAATAATGAATAGTAATGAAAAGTAATGAATAGTAATGAAAAGTAATGAAAAATAAAGAAAAATATTGAAAAATATTGAAAAATAATGATAAATAATAATAAATAATGTTGAATATTGTTAAATAATGAAAATTAATGAAAAATAATGAAAAATAATGAAAAATAATGAAAAATAATGAAAAATAATGAAAAATAATGAAAAATAATGAAAAATAATAAAAAATGAAGAAATACTAAGAAACAAAACAATGAAGGATAATAAAAAATAAATAATTAAGAATATTTAAAAGTAGTAAAAATTTTAAAAATAAAAATAATTTATTTTCCAGAAAAATTACATTTTAAATAAGGTTAACAAAACAGAAGAACAAGTCTATATGTGGGATTAACTATGAATTAGTCTTTCCTTTTTTTTATTATTTATCATAAATTGTCACAAACATTGTGAGTCACGGTTTTTTGCCTAATTGGTACATAATAAGTAGGTACCAAGTTGATTAGTTGATTTTTGGTGTACATACAGGGTGGCGAAAATATAATTAAACACTATCAAGATTTCATTAGCCTTTATAGATAAAAAGTTGGGTATTTTCAAGAAGGATTTATTGGGTTTTTCGAAATTGAAAAGCAGGTCCGATTTCTGAGATATTTGGTTTCAAAATCGAAATAAGCTATTTTATTTTGATAGGAAAAAAATTTACTGAGCTTTTTTGTTAAAAGTCAAATGTAGCTTAGCCACATTTTCGTCTTTAACCCTTTAACAGAAACATTCGACATTTTTTAAATTAGTGGTAAATATTTGTATCTTTGTGCTACATATTGCCGCGTTTAGGGTTTTTATGGTTCCCTAAACGAGCTGAGGGGTTAATTATAGCTAGATGGTAGAACTTTAATAAAACATAATAATTGAAAATATTTATTTACTAAGTAAATGATTGGCTTAAGAAAGGAAAAAGACAATCACCATTGAATAATAAAAAAAAATAACATTAATCAGGTACTTACCAAGGGATGGTGCTTGTGTCGCTCTTCAAAACCAAGTGATTAATATTTAATATTTTATAAAGAAAGTTCGGATTCAAGCACTTTTGTTTGATCAGGTAATTCGATGAACCGTGTTTACTGCTGTCTTTGCAAGTTCAACGAATTTCCATAAAAGTATCAATTAAACCTGAATTTATACTTCCTTTTTAGAAATAATATCTTTAAATAAACTAAACAATGAATGTGAAAAATGAAAATAATAATTTAATGTTATGAGATAAATATTTTTTAATAAGTGAATAATTATTTAACTATTTTACCTATAGTACATGAACGCTAAATATATTATTTGACAATGGTTTTACCACCAACATTATTTGTGGACGTATATGTATTACGCAAGGAAAATGCTAAAATATTCACAAATTATAATATATTTTATTACATTTTAAATTCTAGGTTAAAAACTACGTCAATTTTCCTGTGCCTTTTTTGACAAAAATCTATTTTTGTAAAAATCGTAACATACCTATTGTTTAATTTTCAGCTATCCTTTGTTGTCATTATTTAATAGTTTTCATTTACTTTTATATAACTTTAATGACTGTCATTTGAAATAGGAAACCTCAAAGTGTTTTATTAATTTATTGATGCTTCAACCTTGACCAACGCTTATTCATCTTTCTAAGAAAATAATATATGTAATGCGATAATTGAAAATAATTATTGAATCATGTAACAAAATTTAATGTTGTTATTTTGACTAAAGACGATTCAAAATTCCAACATTAAATAATATATAGTACCTTGTAGTAATATAGGAAATATATACACTTTAGGAAAGAAAATTAATTAAATAATTACACCTACTTAGACAACTTAGTGCTCTTCGCCTCCAGAATATAGCAAAACGGGACACCAACCCTTTTTATACCTCCTTCTTTCCAAAAAAACTATCCAGATCTTTACCAAAACAAACCTTGGGAAACCTCCCTTTATGTGAACGAATTAAAAGCTCCAGTTTCGATATTGAGCAGTTCCCACCCAGGAAAATCAATGTCCCTTACACTCTCATACACTATCTCACAAATTCCACAAATCCTGTAATTATTCAACTTCTTTATACCGAAACAATATGCAAATATCGTCATTCCTAACTAATTTTCACGGATACATCAAACACAGATGCAGCACGCAACAATTTTGCTGATCGAATTTGGAAAATTTGTATCATATTTACAGGTGAAATTATAGCAATCTTAGAGGCCCTCAAGAGTTTCAAACAAAGTTGTGACAAGTATTTAGTAAATGTACTTTTAGTAACCAGTATTAAGTAATTTAAATTCCAAATCTACTTACAATATTAAGTATAAGTATTTTACGAAAGTACTTGAAATATTAAGTATTTTACTTAAAACAAATAATTCAATTATAAGTAGCAAGTACATACTTTAAAAATACTTAAAGTATTCAGTATTTTGAAATACTAATTACTTAAGTCATGTTTTAAGTATATATTAAATTAAAGATCCCCTCTTGAGTTATCAACTTAAAACTCAACATATATAGCTTTGTATAAATTGATAAAGTACGCTACTATTTTGTTTAGACATAACCAATAAAAATGGCCATCCAATATGTTTGTGTATGTATAAGATACAATATACAATAGCTTTGTTCGCGGTAAGAATCCTGAACCGAATTATTACTAACAGTAACGATTTCGCAGGTGCAGTAGTTAAAAAGCGTTCGCGGAACAAAAAGAACTGAACTATTGATTCTATACCTGAAACACCGAGATATAGTAGGGATTGCGCACGCGGTAAAAATTCAGAATTGATAATGATTCGGCATGCGCTCAAAGTATGAATTAGTAATTCTGTATCAGTTTAGGATTGTTACCGCGAACGAAGTTATTGTATACTTGGTTTGTTAAAATAATTGAAATCTTTAGTTTTACTCGGCGTTTTTGTTACATTGTTACTTGTTAGATGATGACATGATGATATAAATTATATATTTAAACTCGTGACAGATGTTTTCATATCATCATGACTATGGAGATCATGACTTACAAGAATCATTGTTTGTTGCTCATATACGAGTAAATAAAATACTCATTTATTCATATTTCAATATCGTTTTTATTCGTCGGAATGGGTAACATAAAGAAGTCAAAGTCATAAACGTAACACATAACATAACATGAGACTATGAGTATAAAAATAACAACACAAGTACATAAATATTGTTTTTCAAGAATAACATTATTTTAAAGTAGGTACCTAACCGAAATACATATTATTAGGATTAGGACATCGGATACTTTGAAAACAAAAACACAAAATGAATAATACGTTTCCTAGAATACGTGTTTGTTACTTTTGAGCAGTACCAACTTTTCAAAGTTGGTGTCACTTAACGCATGACGTCTAGGAGCATTAATTATTTCAGCGAAAGAAAATAATCGTTCCACGGGGGCAGATGACGGTAAAATACAGTTATACTTTATAAATAACTTGCAGTATTTTTAATAAAATACTTAAAGTAAATATGTACTTAAAATAGTTTCAAAAGTACTTTAAGTATTTTCCATTTAAGTACTTTTTGTTAAAAATTACTAAGTATTTTCAGAAAAAACTTTAAGTAGATTCTGATTTTCCAGTACATTTTTCAAGTAACAAGTAATACCACAAAAGCGTTAATTTAAGTACAAGTGCAAGTACTTTTTTTTTAAATGTAATAAGTACATTTCCAAGAGTATCGTTAGTTCATAAATACAAGTAAAATAGCTAAAGTAAAAAAATACTGATTATTTATTTCAAGTACGTTTTTGTACTGAGTACCTCAGCTCTGGTTGCAAATGTTAATATTTTCATTTGATTAATTTCCATTATAAACACTAAACGTTGGTTGTTTATCTTATTGTTCTCTTCGCTTGCCACTTCCTATTTTTCACTTTCTTTTTTGTGTAAATACCTTTCTTTCTGACACTCTAAAATACGTTAAATGATTTTTTTTTTATATATATACCAATTAAGAAAACAGATTTTTCCTTCAGTTTTTAAAAGTTAGCTTGAGGGCACAAAATAAATAAAAAATTAAACTGTAAATCTTCAGAAAAATGTCTCAGTATCAGACTCATAATCACTGATGTCATCGTTGAGTATGAAAAAGTGTGAAAACTAACGCAAACACTTTATTATTATTTTAATGAATAATCTGTAACTATGAATTTAATAATTATTAACACAAGATGGTTTTCATGAATCTCATTTTAGAGATAATTTTGTAAAATATACTACCACATGTTGTTAGTCAATCTCTTTATTTCTCATTTGCATTTATATTTATACTATCACAGATTTAACAATATAAAATAACAATTAGCAATTATTAATATTTAAAGATACATTAGAAAAATATTTTCGGATTTCGATCCCTGTTCAATGTTTTGAATTGATTTTAAAATAATTCGGCATTTTTGTTATTACGATATACATTGAACTTGAAATGAAATTGGAATAGTTTATAGTACCTGCATATGAAAATAAACATTTTAATTAAAGATAATTTATTTCATATACAGGATGTTAATTTAGTATATGAACATAAAGAAAAATGTTCAAATCTGAACCTTAATATATTTTGTTTTTAAAGTATTTCGTTAACATAAACCCCAAAAAAAGATGGCCAAAGCAACAACTCCCCAGTTCAATATACTAACCACTTTTTTTTTTTCTTTACAGTTGTCCATCGAACGATAGACCCCTCATCGGCGACGATGACAGGTGTCTTCCGTACCATAATGGAGAAGGAAGGAGTATTCGGCCTATACAGAGGCATCACACCGAATTTCATCAAAGTAATGCCGGCCGTGAGCATCAGTTACGTGGTGTACGAGTACTCCAGCCGATTACTTGGTGTCAATATGACGTGATGTCGCCTCGGGCGGTTAGCAACGAATTCATTTACGCTGAAACGGCGCCGCCTCCCAGCATGGCGTGGCGGCGCTCGTGGAAAAGTGCCGAACGTGGGGCGGCGGTTCATCTCTCTTAAGATTATATGAATCGTTTCGAAATATTCGTTCCAGACACGTTTGAGATGGTATAATATCATTTAAGTCCATAATATCATTCCTATAAACATCAGCAAAGGTTTATTTTGAGGACAATTTAGTTACTATAATAAGCGAAAGTTACTATAGCGACCACGAAACACTTGCTATAATCGTCATTAGTGTAGTAATTAGTCGTTATAACAAATGATTATATTTTTATCTTCAAAAATTTTATAAATTCATCAATATCTTGTCCATAAATATCAACAAAGGTTTAAAAATCAATTAGTAGGCGAAAGTTACTACAGAAACCACCAAACAGTTGTTATAATCGTCATGATTATATGTTTGTCTTCAATAATTTGATAAATGCATCAATTTCATGTCCATAAATGTCAGCAAAGATTTAAAAATCAGTTTGAGAACAAATAATTATTTTTTGTTTTAAAAAAATTTGATAAATTCCAAAATATCTTATAAAATCAGGAAAAATAAAACATTGTTTCGAGGGTATTTTGGTGGTTGCAGTTAGCGAAAGTTAGTACAGCAACCACCAAACTGTTGTTATAATCGTCATTACTATAGTAACTAATCGTTATAACAAATAATTATATATTTGTCTTCAAACATTCGATAAATTTTGCAATATCATTTCCATAAACATCAGAAAAGGTTTAAAAATAATTTTGAAGGCAATTTGGTCGCTATAGTAAGGAACGTTAATATAACAGTTGTTATAATCGTCATTACTATAGCGACTGGCGCTGTAATATAAAAAAAACGTGTTTGGAATCGTTTGTTCGAAAAAATTCATTTTCGGGCATATATTTGTGCCACCTAGTTTAATTTATTTATTTTTTTAAATATAGATAGGCTTTAAATATGATATGACTGTATGGTCACTTTTTTACAATTGTTGATATTTTGAGTATGCAGAAGTGTATTTTTTTCTCGATGGCATTGTATGAATAAATTCTTTATTTAAAAATAAAAAACGCAACTAATTAAATCGTTACCTGAAACGCTTAAAATCAAAAGGTAGGTTAATTTTTTTTTATATTTTGATTAAATTTCTTGACATGAAAATTCCGTTACTTTGATATAAATGACATTTTTACATCTGTTTTGTTAACATGTGTAAAGTCGACAGTTCCCGTGATAAATGACGTTGACGTGTGTCATTTAAATGATAAGTGACATTGACGTATGACATTTAAATCTACCTAAATTTTAAGTTTCGCGACATTTTGTGTGTATATGTAAAAATTCACTTCTGTAAACTCGCGCGCTTGTGTACTTAATATAAAAATGTATGAGGGGAATAAACTATTATCAAAATCAATATATACAAAATAAATGCATTCATGTTCGCAAAACTACTAGAAAAATTTAAACATTTATTTAAGCACATGTTTTTCTATCCTTCATTAGTCCAACTTTTGATAAATCATTGTCTTTCTGTTATAATTTCCCGTCAAATTCTTTTTTCTACTTTGTTATTGATCTGCGGGACAAATAAAATCTATTAAAAGTTAATTACAATTAACACAAAAAAGGCGTTTTTTTTTTAACACAGCTGCTACCAGTTATTTTATTACGTCTGTTATTTTTTTTTTCTTGATCACTCCCTGATGATATAGCATTTTTTCGCTCATTGTGGTCTTAAAAGTTTGTACAAACCTGGACAAAAGAAGCGAGAAAACTGTTGTAGTTTGGGAAAAGATTGTATTAGATTTTATGTTTTTAAAACGGTTGTGAATTGATTTTAGCTGAAACAAATCCTCAATTTTTATATTAGGTACATTAAGCGTATCGTTTTTAGATAAAAAAAATAATCCATTCTCAATGCAAATTTAAAATACCGCTTAAGTGAACCAGTTTTTAGAAGTTTAATAAAAAAAAAAACCTTATTCGCAATTTTTGATGTTACTATTTTCAATAAGCGTTTGTCTGTGGTTTTTGCTCCCAATTTGAAAAATTTGAATGTTGTCATTACACATGAAAGATATATTTATGAATAAAATATTATAATTCCAGTCAGAAGAGGGAAATGTGATGTACTTAATATTTTAATAAAATGAAAAATATGGTATTATACTGTAGAATGTATTTGTATAAAAAAATTTGAAAAATTAAAACATTCATTCAGTCTTTAGTTTTTTTTTTATGTCTGGGAAGTTTAACGTACCTATTCCAAAAAAGTTTTATACTAGCAGTCAGGTAAAGGTAATGGGCCCTAAAAAAATCGCAAAAAGGATGAGAGTTGAAATTAATCAGACGAATAAGTGGGAGGGGAAGAAGATAATTATGAAATATTCAAAGAACGGACTTAAAAATCCATATGTATAACTGCAGTTGTAGAATAGCATGGGAATTTAGAGATACAGTAAGGCCAATTACAGAAATTTAAATAACTTGAGGCAGGTCCATTCTTAGCCTCTTTGTGGAGACAAAAATACCGCTCCTATATTTTAAAACTAACCTTTTTAAACAAACATTTTTTGAAAATTCTAACATCTAATTTTGTGAAATTATATCTAATTTGATATATGTTGGGTATGGGGTATTATTGCACTGCAACTTAAAAGATCTATTGTGCCACCCAGAGATAGTGCCCCTTATTTATTTATTTAATCATACATCCAGCGGCCAAGGCCCATTACAGAATTAGCAATATACATTAATAAACATTATGGGTATATAATACGACAAATAGTGAAAAACACATTATAAATAGCGAGATTGTGTGAGTAATCTGAAAAAAACTCCAGTGAGAAAAAAGATTAATCACACAACGCATTTAAAACAAAGCTAGAGTATAAAATGTATTAAAAAGAACATTACAAACAAGAAAATATACATATTATATAAATCAATAGGTCTTTTCCTTTGCATCGAAAGTGTAGCACTGAGCTACGTCACTTCTGAAAATATCGTTCCATCCATACAATTTGTATATATGGAACGATATTTTCAGAATTGGTGTAGCCCAGTGCTACACTTTCAATGCAAAGGAAAAGACCTATTATCTCCACTTAAGTCATTAACCGTGGACAGCATACGATGCAATGGAGACTGACAGCTATGCCTAGAATTGATTCTAGCAACAAAAAAGTTAAGCTGATCAAAACGAGCAGGGCAATTTATTTTGTAAATGAAAATTATTGAATATATAATTCTACGTTGAAATAAGCTCTGCATTCCAAACATTGCTAAAAGCTGGTCTTGTGGAGATCCCCTCTCGCGGTAGGTTCCATGAAAATATTAATGAAGACTTAATAAAACGTAGCTGAACCATATTCAAGCTTGGACCTAACAAGAGTATTGAATAACAATTTGCAAGTATCTGGACTATTAAAATCTTTGATAGACCGTAAGATGGAACCTAGAACTTTATTACACGACGCGTCAGTTACGGCAAGATGATTAACGAATGATAATTTTGAATCGAATACAACGCCAAGGTCTTTAATCGTGTCTGGTCTCTGCAAGACGACTCCTCCTATATTGTAATCGAATCTAATACAATCAATCTTTCGCGTATATTACATAACGTTGCATTTTGCAGGATTTATCATAAGATTTTTAATTATACACCAATTATGAATTTTGTTTATATCGGATTGCAGTAAGGTACATTCATTGATGTTATCAAGCTTCAGGCCAACAGCGTAGAGTAAATTGGCTCCATTCTTTCTTGTAGCCCAGCTCTGTAGTTTTGAAGTTTCTCACAAAACTATATTTCTTCCTCATTTCATCTTGGGGCATATCCCAAGTATCTTCGGTCCTGAAGCTAATAGATTTTCGTCTGATTATACCGTTCTATATCATATCCTTTTTGCTACATTCTCTATCATTAAATTTAGAACGGTGAGATTTAAGATCACCTCCATTGCAGCCGTAGGACAGGTTCTCATTGCACAGGTGATGCAAACTAGTATTATAAGATACACCTTCACAAAAAAAAATCAGTTAACTAAACTTTGCCAGTGACGTAACACCAGTCCTTCTAAATTTTACGCTTCTGTCCAACAAAATTAAAATATAAATTAAAATTTTTGACTTTACCATCCTGTTTTTCGAAAACGAATATTTTAGCATTTAATTGTCTTATTTTTAATTAAAAAATCAACAGTTGTGTAGGCTTAACAATAATTTTACACATATTCTCGATATTCCAAATTAACTTCTTCAAGAAATCCTATGAATAACTTATAAAACTAAAATATAATAATTTTTTAAACAAATAAATAAAAGTTCCTTCGTTGTATAGGTCACACACAGCTTTTATTTATCGAGTACATTTGTTTCAGAACAGACTTGAGAAAATGGCTGCATAGCTGAAACCCATATTTTTTTATTAAACTATTCATTGTGGCATACATTTTGTGTTTCATTTATCTCGTAATAAAAAATTCATGCAATATACAAATATTTTATTTACAAAAATAAAAACAGTTTTATTTATTTAAATGCAGTCCAGCATCTTTATCGACAATCCAGTAAACGTTTCCAGAAGCGGGCTGGACTCTGGCTGCTGGAAGGTTCTCCTTATCCACCAGAACTCTCTAAAAAATACATTGAATAAAAATTAATATATTGTATGGGGTTTACTAATTTTTATTTGGTTTCCTTCAATTTTTTCATAATTTTTTATGATATTAATCCAATATAATGCCTTTTAGCTTTAGGTTTCGTTATTAATGTTGTTCATATAATTTGTTTAGTGGAACTTTAATATTTTTTAAAGTAATTTAACTGTTGGAATCCTGTTAATCCAACTTAAAGAGGCCACTTCCCTCTCCTCGTTTTCAAATCAACAAATTTTAAATATTATTGAGACACAGTGACCCTCTTGCTGTTTAATGTTTACCCATGCAACTAATTCATAATGGATATGGTATGGTAAGTCAAATTATTAATAATTTTTTCCATAATACATTTATTTTGTAAATGTATTATTTTTATTAAACATTTTTCACTGTACAATTATGCAGTTAGGTGTGACTGAAGATGAAGTAAATATTTCGAAATCGTTGGTTAATAGATAACTTTGTGAGAAATAAACATTTTCTTTGACTTCCTTGCTCAATTCTCTAATGATCTACAATGTTTTGACTTTTCCGTTCAGAAATTTAAGAAAGATGTACTCAAATTGAATATTTGAATGTCTTGTTCTCATGTTCTCTATTTGTACTTATTATATTCAATTATTGTCTGTATATTAGTACCATTACTGTTTTATTTAACCAATTTGTCCGATTATGTTATGTGAATTATTTTTATTTTCTATGTTGGCAGTATTTTATTGTATTCTACTGTATTTTGACCAAATTAAATAAATAAATAAAAAATTGATTGTGTAATCTCCTATTATTTATTTGTACTTATTTTATTCAATTGTCTGTATATTAGTGCCATTACTGTTTTATTTAATCAATTTGTACGATTATATTATGTGAATTATTTTTATTTTCTATGTTAACAGTATTTTATTGTATTCTACTGTATTTTGACCAAATTAAATAAATAAATAAAAAATTGATATATTAAAATAACTAAGTCATGTACCATTATTACACCATTATTTTAATTATTTAGTTTTGGTCTATTATATATATTTTTTTTAAATTACTGTTCTATAATCAAAAATACAATGTAATGACATGTATGCACATATAAATGTAAAATTTTCATACCAAAATGGTGTGATGTTATCTCCATACCTTACCACCTCCCTCTGCGTATTGCACCAGAATCTAGAATACTTTATCAATTTATTCTTAACTCACCTTAATCATATCAGCCTTTTCTTTCCCGGATGCAGCAATGGCACAAACATCTGCATTATTAACTACAGGGAATGTCATTGTTACTCGACTGGGAGGAGGTTTTGGTGAATCCGTAATGGGTGCTATCCACCTACTGGTTTCATTAAGCAACTTATGACCCGGGAATAAAGAACAAGTGTGGCCATCAGGTCCCATCCCAAGTAACAGTAAATCAAACACTGGTAGTTTTTCATTCGGAAAGAATTCCTTTACTTTATTTTCGTAAGCTGTCGCTGCTTCTTCAGCTGGGAAAAACATAATAAATATTTATAAAAATCCAATAAACCATTTAGATATATTAATATTACCTGATACACCCTGTTTAATTTGAACAAATTGATCTTCTTTTAATGGAACTGCTCCGGAATCTATTAAAGTCTTCTTGTAAAGACCAAAAGTAGAATCGGGATCATTTACAGGTACTAATCTTTCATCGCAGAAAAATATTGTCCATTTGGAGAAGTCGGTTTTGATTTTTGGTAAACCAGTTGCTAGGAATGGTGCTAAAGAACCACCTACAATTATTTAAAAGTGATTGTTAATAATAAAGAATCTTAAAAAAATGGCAAGTAGTGTTTATTCGAACATATACACCAGTTTATAACATCAGGATTTCACCAGTTTATTGAAAAATAAAAGTACTTTGTCCATTATGATCTAATTTTGTTTTCCTTTTTATTTTGTCTCAGCAGGAGCAGAGACAAAATTATGTTGGTTTTAATTTTTTCGTCAAAAACAAACTTACAAAAAAACTTAAGAGAGTTGTGTAGGAATATGAGTGTAGCATAGGCAACCAGTATCACACATGTGTGTATATCATGTTGCCTATATCTTAATTGTTAGAGTGAGTCGTATGCGCAAGTCAGTGCGACTGTAATGGCTGTCAAGACTCAACTTGTATCGTTGTATCGATTGGAGTAAACTCAGTTTGCTACGTTATTATCGTGTTTTATTACAATTTTATATTATTTCTTACAGTTGTATTTTTAATAAGTTTATTTAAAAAAATATATGAAAAATTCAAAACATCTATTTATTTTTTGTGAAACTTTCATTAAAATCGTTCAAACAAACAAAATTTTATCAGACAAACTCCAACTTTTTTTTTTCAGGCTAGTAAAAACCTGAAGATATAAAACTGAACCACCCTGTATATTCTGCTGGAAATTTTAAAAAATGTTTTACTGGTACTCAGGGGTCATTTCAAGGTATCAACCTAGATAAGATTATATTTTATTAAAACATTATTACTTACCAGAAAATCCTACTAAAAATTTTCCATGTTTTGATATACTACTGGCTGCTGTTTTTTCTATTATTTCAGACAATTTTTCTATTACTTTTTCCTTATTTTCTACTATTATCACAGGCATCTTAGTACCTATGTACACAGAACACTTCTTATGTACCTAAAAATTATAAAAATATGGAAACAACTTGTTGATTTGAATTAAAGTGTTGAGGGGGGTAGGGGTAAAAAATTAAATATAAAATCGAATCACAGCTGATTTGAAAAAGACCACGAGACACGATATCAAGAATTCGACAAGTCATGCTTTGTCATCGTGAAACAGATTATTCTCCTCGTTCATAGAGGGCGCCACATATTCTGAATCTGTAAAATAATTATTTACGGCCAATTTCATAATCAATTTAAAGGACACTTTAATTTTAAAGTATCTTTCAACCATATAGTTTAAATAGCTTAAAAGTCTCCTTTCATTAAAGGCCACTTTAGCTATCGATTATGAAATTGCCCGTTACTATTTGATAATTTTTTTAATTAAAAACAGCTTTCACTTCAAAACCAGCAGCTAGTCAATAGTAAATTTAAGAAAATCAAAAAACTTGTCAACTTTTATTGGCAATGGTACGAATTATTATGTAAAATTCGTACCCAGAAATCCAATCACCTGGAGCCTTGGCAGTAGGGTCAAGTAACACATAATTTGAATGGTTAATTTTATGGAGAAATAGCAACATGACTATTCACTGCGTTACTTTTGATTATAACGCCCTCTGTTTGTGTTTGTGTCGTCAGCAATGTCAGCATAATTTGTTAAAAATACGGAGTTATCATTTAAATGAATTGACAAGTTATTTATATACACTGGAAATAAGATTACCAAAGAGTATAGTTAACACAAGAGATCGCACTCAAATGTCAATCGATCTGAACGTCTGTGACCTTGACAAATCAAAATATTTTACGCTGGTAAATTGTATCTAATTTAATATAACCTAGCTTTCTGATCAGTTCTCTTTTTGGTTCAAACATACCTCTACATAGGTTAATTTTACACAAACACGTCATTTTAAAGTGTTTTATTACCCCTAGGAGTATTGCTCAAAACAATTTTGGTTCACCTTGTATATTAAATTAGCAAATATATTATTTTTATTTATTTTATTGTTCTACTTCTTATTACATTCGCTCCGTCAAATTAAATAAGTATTAACTATCTGAAGATATTATACATTCCTATCTATTCCCTGTATCCTCCCTATCCCTATCTATTCTTTGTCTAATTTTAATTAAAAACGTACAAAAGGAAAGTTATTAGAAAAATACTAGAGATAAAACATCAAAATTACCACGTGTAGAAAATATTGTATTTAAATTTAAAACAGAAATACCTATATTATATTAAAATTCATAAAATAAAATGGACATCCTGTATAAACTTTGTCTTTAAGGCTGGCTCGTTATATCTATTTTTGACGCTGATCTTCAGCAGAACGTCTTATGAGCAATTCCTGAATTTCACGATCTGCAGCTTGCAGTCTAATGTAACCCCAGCTTTATTTGTATTTATCACACATTATTTTATTTATCAAGTCAGCTGTGCTTCCTATGACTTACTTTAAACAAAATGGTTTCTGAGTTTTTCTGTGAATTATTAAGAACATTTTTTCAAGAAAAATAGCTTGCTTTATCTTCTTTTGTGTTAGAAAATATGCAAATCTGTTTCCCTTTTATGGTAAGATATTTTTAATTTAAATAGCGAATTCATATCTGTCAAAATTTACTGAAATGCCGTGGAATATAAATATGACGCTTGTTATACGTATTTTCAACGTTGGGTACTTTTTAAACATTTTTTGGAATTTCTTGCACGTCTTCGGGACCTAGGTATTTGTAATTTCTTTTTTTTTAACAATAAATCTGTGTAAGTAATCTAGGAGGAATCGGCGCATGAATGTTTACATTTTTATCAGAATCCTTTATAGCATAAAAACTAAACGGCAAAAAAACTATAGGCGACATGTCATTGAATCATAGACAGCGATATAAATGCACTCACATATTTTATTGAATTAATTTTATTATTTATGCACGTTATACTGCAAACTGTTAGTAAATTGATCCGACTCTAATTTCCTTGCTGTTTGAATTGACTTTGTATATAGGCTATAAAATATGCCAAATATTATAGTGTGTGCCATAGAGTTGTATCTACAGGGTGTTTCTAAATTCATGCGACAAAATTCAGGAGGTGATTGCTCGTATGAAATTAAGTTGGGTCTTTCCTATAACAAAATTCCCTCAGCCCACCCCTTTCCGAGATATCACCCTTAAAAGGTGGTGACTAAAATTGAGTTTTTATTTTTTTTCTAAAATTTCAGTAAAGCTAGAAACTTGAAATTTTGTAATTTTCGTGCACTCGCAAAGGACTAACCACGGGTATTTTTTCAATATTCCTGTTACATTACAGGGGGGTGAAATTAGCAACCTTACTTTATTTCATACCAAAACTTTTTTTCGAGATGAAGTTTTACGAAATAAAATTATAAATTATGGTGTTTATTTATTTTTTTCTCTGAAGCTATTGGTTTTGGGAAAAAATTTAGGAATAAAATTTTTTTTTAAATAAAATAAGGATTTCAAGTTATAATTTTATTTCATAAAACTTCATCGTGAAAAAAAGTTTTGATATGAAATAAAGTAAGGGTTGCTAATTTCACCCCCCTATAATGTAACAGGAATATTGAAAAAATACCCGTGGTTAGTCTTTGCAAGTGCACGAAAATTACAGAATTTTAAGTTTCTAGCTTTACTGAAATTTTAGAAAAAAAAATAAAAACTCAATTTTAGTCACCACCTTTTAAGGATAATATCTCGGAAAGGGGTGGGCTGAGGAAATTTTGTTATAGGAAAGACCCAACTTAATTTCATACGAGAAATAACCTCCTGAATTTAGAAACACCCTGTATGTGGGATATTTTTTTAGTATTATGATTGAAAAAGAAGGTCGTAGGTCAATCACCTCTGCTTATTTAAAAACTTAAAATAGCTCATATGAAGGTTATTGACATAAGTTATCTGTCAAATTATCAAATTTTTTTGAACATTTTTTCAAAAATGGGCTTTTATTTGAAAAAATCTGATGTGTCCAATACATGACTTTCCTATCTAGTTATTATAGGCTTTTTCCGGTTATTTTGTACAACCTATTGCAGCACCTCTATAAATGTTTAGAGGATACACTAAATATATACATTTTCCACATTCATCTAACTCGAAACATTTTTATATAGGTATTCATTGAAAAAGAAAATACTGAAAATTTTTAATTTAGCGCTTTTCCTTTAACAGATATATTCCATGAAATATAAAAAGGACCACCCATAAAGTACCCCCTCAGATGTTCCGACTACGTTTATTTTTGACAAAATCGAAAATTTTCATTAAGAAAAGTTGATTAGAATTGAATATTACATTCAAATATGCAATTACACCGATCTATATGAAAAAACAGATTTTCTTATTTTTTATAAACTCTACACTCTACACATTGATTGTAAATATCTGAAAACGTTATAAATTACGTTAGCTACTATAAACATGATACGCTTTCCTTTTGTTGATGTTTGTGAAGAATTTAGCAAATTTCTTAATGAACATTTTCGATTTTGTAAAAAAATAAACGTACTTTACTCTTGAGCAAAATTCATATTTTTTGACAAACCTTGTATACGGCTTGAAAAATTTGATATCTGATGACTGTATTTTAAGTTTTGGGTCATGCAGGACTTTTTATCAAGAATAACTTTTTTTCCTAAAATCAATAATAAAAATGTTTTCCATATGGTTCCAACTTAAGTAGACACACTGTATAAAGTAATTAATTTTAGTATAAAAATAAAATTTGAAGCATGGAAAAGCATCGAAATAAATTTTTTGATGAGCTTTTTTGAACAAATTGGCAGAATTTCGTCCATAAAAATTTGGATGGATGGATGGATGTTCTTTCAAGAAAAATTTTTTGACGAACTTTTTTGAAAAAATTTTGAAGTATGGGTACTTTTGAGAAAAAAACTGAACTGGGAACTGAAATTTTTTTGAATTTTTAATTCGAAACTCCCATGAGCCAAAATTGCAAAAAAAAAATTGCTATTTTTTTCTCCATAATTTTAATTTTTAGAATTTTCTTTTTTTTATTGGAATTTTTCTAAAAAAATATTTGTTTAATATTTTCCATCAATAATTTTAAAATTCAAATAAACCCCTAAAAATAAGTTGGACGACTTTTTTCATTGGATTTTAACAGTCAAAGATATCAACCATTAGAGTTATTAGTCTTGGGGGAAGAGAGGAATTACCCCATGGATCCACCAGTGTTTCGAGTTTAAAAAAAATAATTAAAATAATAAAAATAATAAAAAAAAAAAATTTAAATTATGCGTTATTTTCTTGGAAATTGCAAAATCTTTCAAAAAAACTCCATTTACTTCGACATAATTTTAATACTCCTAAAAAATAACCATAGTGTCGAACATTAATAACATAAATTGCTATGGAATTATTGTCTTCTCGTCCCGTTTAAGCTTTTTCAACAAAATTGTTAGTTACGGGGGTGCATCAAAAAATGTTGAAATTAAACATTTTCCTGAAGTTGGAATATCTCATTCAAAATCGGTATGTTGACGTAAAATCTCATTAGAAACAAGTTTATTTTTTCATATTTATGAACCATTTTTCAAAAAAAGTGGCAATTTTACAACTATACAGTATGTCCCCCTAGGTTGGAATCATATGGAAAACTTTTTTATTATTAATTTTAGGAAAAAAAGTTATTCTTCATAAAAAGTTCTGCATTATTTAAAACCTAGAATACAGTCATCAAATATCAAATTTTTTCAGTGGTATAGGTTTGTCAAAAAATATGAGTTTTACTCAAGAGTAAAGTACCTGAGTAAAGTACCTTTTCTCTTTATACGATTAATAAAATTTGATATCTGATGGTTGTATTTTAGGTTTTAGACCATGCTCGACTTTTTATAAAGAATAACTTTTTTCCCAATATTAATAATAAAAAAGATTTTCATATGCCGCCAATTTGCGTAGACAGTTGGTGGCATAGGAAAGCTTTTTTATTACAAATTTTAGGAAAAAAAGTTGTTCTTTATAAAAAGTCGACTATTGTCGAAAACCTAAAATACAACCATCAAATATCAAATTTTATCAGTCGTATAAAGAATAAAGGTACTTTACTCTTGAGTAAAACTTATATTTTTTGACAAACCTCGTATACCACTGAAAAAATTTGATATT